AAATATGGAGAATCTCTAGAGAACTCAGGTGCAGGACAAGATGCGTTCTGATTGTCATAGCCACACTCATTCCAACTCTGTTTCTGTTCATTCATTCATTTATTATCCATTCTTTCATCCCCTCATTTATCAAATACTTCGAGCACTTTTTTTTTTTTTTTTTTTTTCGGTACGCGGGCCTCTCATTGTTGTGGCCTCTCCCGTTGCGGAGCACAGGCTCCGGACGCGCAGGTTCAGCGGCCATGGCTCACGGGCCCAGCCGCTCCATAGCATGTGGGATCCTCCCGGACCGGGGCATGAACCTGTGTCCCGTGCATTGGCAGGCGAACTCTCAACCACTGCGCCACCAGGGAAGCCCCTTTGAGCACTTTCTATTGGGTTGGCCAAAAGTTTCCTTTGGTTTTTAGGTAAAAATAAAAGACACATTTTTCATTTTCACCAAGAACTTTATTAAACAATGTATTCACCATTTTTTTCCACTACCTTCTGCCATTTTTCTGGCAACTTCATAACTCCATCTTCCCAAAACTTTTTATCTTTTTGAGCAAAGAACTGTTCCAGGTGCCTTTTAGAGTCTTCCAGGGAATTGAAATTTTTTCCATTAAGAGAATTTTGTAAAGACCGAAATAAATGGAAATCCAAAGGTGCAATGTCTGGTGAATATGGCGGATGAATCAGAACTTCTCAGCCAAGCTGTAACAGTTTTTGCCTAGTCATCAAAGAAACATGCGGTCTTGCGTTATCCTCATGGAAGATTATGTGTTTTCTGTTGACTAATTCCAGACGCTTTTCGACGAGTGCTACTTTCAATTGGTCTAATTGGGAGCAGTACTTTTTGGAATTAATCATTTGGTTTTTCCGGAAGGAGCTCATAATAGAGGACTCCCTTCCAATCCCACCATATACACAACATCACCTTCTTTGGATGAAGACCAGCCTTTGGTGTGGTTGGTGATGGTTCATTTCACTTGCCCCACGATCTCTTCTGTTCCACATTATTGTACAGTATCCACTTTTCATTGCCGGTCACAATTTGTTTTAAAAACAGAACGTTTTCATTACGTTTCAGTAGAGAATAATATGCAGAAATATGGTCAGGAAGGTTTATTCGCTTAACTTATGTGGAACCCAAACATCAAAGTGATGAACATAACCAAGCTGGTGCAAATGATTTTCAGTGCTTGATTTGGATATTTTGAGTATGTTGGCTATCTCCCGCGTGGTATAACATTGATTGTTCTCAATTAATGTCTCAGTTTGATTGCTATCAACTTCAATTGGTCTACCCTACCATGGAGCATCATCCAGTGAGAAAGCTCCAACACGGAACTTTGCAAACCACTTTTGACACGTTCGATCAGTCACAGAACCTTCTCCATACACTGCACAAATCTTTTGGTGCGTTTCAGTTGTGTTTTTACCTTTCTTGAAATAATAAAGCATAATACATTGAAAATGTTGTTTTTTTCTTCCATCTTCAGTATTAAAATGGATACACAAAAATTCACTAATTTTGACAAGATTGTTTTTAATGCATGCTGATATGACAGCTGTCACAATACAATCTAACAAAATTGTTTCGAATGAAGTTAAAGACAGCTGAGTGCTACTAGAGCCATCTTACAGGAAAAACCGAATGAATCTTTTGGCCAACCCAAAATATCACCAAGTGCTGGAACCAATCAGATACTGGGTGCTGGGACTTGGTCCCCTCTCTTAAGGAGTTTCTGTAGTTCAGTAGGGCTGGCACATGCGTGGACAGATCGTTACAGGACAAGGAGATGAGTGACGTCGTACAGAGATGATCTAAAGGTTGTAGGAACGTGGAAGAAAGCTCCACCAACGTTGCGGGGGAGGAACAGAGGGTTCAGAGGAAAAGAGTAACATTTAGAAGTACTATGACGTTCTTGAGAAGGACGGTGAAGCACAGAAGGTGGGAGGAGCTACTGCAATCTGGCGGCCATGCCCTCAATGCAGTTCACGCACAGGCATACACGATACCGGGGTTGATGTGTGGCTGTATCTACTTCCCTTGTGTTTCTCAAATTTATTTTAGACTTCATGAGAGTACTCACACCCCTTCTATTTCGGTCTCCCTATTTTTTTTTTTAACACACAGTGAACGGGTGCTAGCTCCCCCTTCTCTTTCTCTTTTCCTATCCAACTCACCCGGCTTTATTTTTCTCCAAGACACTTTTCACCTTCTAAGTATCCTTATAATTTACTTATCTATTATGTTTACCCTCTGTTTCCTCTTCCTAGAATGTAAGCTCAGAAAGGAGAAGATTGGTCTATTTTGTTCACTGTGGTGTCCCCCTGCTCCTGGAAAAGTGCCTAGTACACACACAGTGGGTCCCTGATAAGTAATGGGAATGATCTGAAATAGCCAATTTCTGTATCGAGGACATAATTATTATCCACTCATATTTGAAGGAAAATGTATAGGAAAATAAAAGCCTACAAGGGACCATTGACAATAGCATCATTTTTCTCCCTCCCTTCAACAGTATTTATTGATCACCTGCTCTATGTCAACTCTACTCTGAGCACTGGGATTTCAGAGCTGAACAGAACAGATCCTATTTCTATCTTTATGGCGCTCACCTGCCAGAGGGAAGCAGATGTTAATGAACTATGTAATTGCAAATTTGGGATAAGTGCTTAGAAAAAAAGTAGAGGGTGCTATGAAAGCATGAGACAGCAGCACATGACTTGGCCTGGATGATCCAGGAAGTTATTTTTAAGCTGAGTAGAAGTTCACTCAAGGAAAGAGAGGAGGGGGAGAGAGAGCATTGGAGCAGAAGAAACAGAATAACAAAGATTGCAGAGTGGGAGAGAGAGTGCCTCTAGTCTTCCAGGTATGGCTATAGCCAGAGGGAGGGAGGAGGGACTTAGCGTAAGAGAAGAGGTAGATGAGCAGACCAGGTAGCTCCAGGTAGCTGCACATGTCAAGTGGCTGGCTTTTTAGTTCAAGGGCAAAGGGGAGCCTTGAGTGGGTTGTAAGCTGGCGGATGTTGAAATGAAAAGATAGCTCAGGTTAAAGTGCAGACAGGGGATAAGGGAGGAGGGCAGATAGGATGTGGGGAGGCAAGTTGGGAGGGTGCTGCAGTGGTCAAAGCAAGATGTGATGGTTGGAGTGGAAATGAAGAGACATGCATAGAGTAGAGAAATATTTATGAGATAAAATTGAAGTCAGTGGCTTTTCCGTGGTTTCAAATAAATAAATTACGGCTTGTATGTGTAAGGTTTTTGGATGTTTTGATGAACCAAAATGTAAATAAAGAAGCATCTTGAGTGGTTTGTCAGCATTCTCTGTGATATGTGTCCAAATATTAGTAAGAAGTGAGCCCCATCTACAATGATCTAGTAGCCCCTATGTGGCTGGGGGTCCTTCTGGGGAGGGAAACGAGGGAGTGTTATTGGGAAAGTTGATATTGATGAGGGTAAGACAAGAAAAGGTGTATGTGTGTGTGTGTGTGTACATGCATATAACCAATCACGGAACCCTGCCCTCACCCCTTTCACATCCTTCCTTCTATCCCTGCTTCTTTCTTTTCACGTGTTCCTCTCAGCTTACAGAGTTTAAGATCAGTGGTTCTCAATATTTCTTGGACCTTATCCTGAGAATAAGGCACATCCAATACACACAGAAAATTTCATACCATATACCGGGGGCTCTGGAACCCCAGATTTAAGAATCTCTGACCTGTAGAGTTTGTAAAAAGTCAATTCATAGACAAAAATAAATATATTTAGCCAATAAATATATGAAAGATGTTCAAGCTTACTAACAATCAGTTGAGCCAACCATGAGATAACATCTCTCATCTATCAGATTGGTAAAGATTCAAAACTTGATAATACCAAGCTTGGCCATAGTTGGGGGAAATGAACACTCTTGTATACTCTGGATGAAACCAAAATGAAACAACTTCTTAGGTCCTTTAACCTAGTAATTCCAATCCTAAGAAAACATCCTTTAAGAACACAAACATAGGTGTGCAATAGTCAAGGATGTACACTGCAGCAATGACAGAAAATTAGGAACTGCCTAAATGACCACCAACAGGGAAATGGATAAATACATTTGAAACATACCCTTACCGTATAGTGGGATACTGTGCAGTCCAAAAGAATGAGATCAATCTGGACTGACGATATATTAAGTGAAAAAGTCAAGTTGCAGACCAAGATATGTAGCACAATGCATTCTCTATTAGAGAACTCACAAAAAGATCTGTGTTATATGTAAATGCTTTTGTATATATTTAGAACATATATACATGGATTTACATGAAACTCTTCATAGTGATTAACCCTGGGGAGTAAGGTTTGGTTGAGGGGATGGGGAGAAGTCAGGCTTGAAATGAAATTTTCCTCTTTTATTTTATGTACTTCTCTACTGTTTGCATTTATTTTCACGAGCCTGTATTACATGATCTTAATTCTTAAAAAATAAAGGTAACATAGGAATTTCTCACCTTGAGCTTCTTTTCAACTGTACAGCTCTCCTTTAAACTTTGAGATGGAAGAAGAGACAAGCCATAGACGTAGCTCAGTCTCTTCCTCTGATTATGATATTTTTGTGACATCCCATTGTGTTGGGGATTGAGTCCAAACTCCTTAACTTAGCACTGCAGGTTGTCCTGGATTTGGCCCCTTGCCAGCCTCCCCAGTGTCTTCAGCCATCTGCCAACACGTAGACCCTGCCCTCACTGGAACTCACCAGGGCATGGAGTTCCTGGGATTCTCCATGGTTTCTGATACACGTTCACTTTCACAGGCTGATCGTTTGCCTGTAATGACATCCTCAGCTGCCTGACACGCGTCCTGTCCTTCAAGACTCAGTTTCAGCATCACCTTCTCCAGAAGATCTGACCCCCTAGCCACCTCCAGCCCAGTGGTTAGGGTGCTGCTAAGCGCTCCGTGTCTTGAGGCATACCTCCCATATTATACCACTTTTTGTGCCCTACTGCCACTTTAGTATCTGTTTCTTCTAGGTGAGAACACCCTGAGGACGGAAGCTGTGCTTTGTGTCACTGTGTTCCCGGTGCCTGGCCACAGGAGGCCCCCACTAAGTCGGAGGGTAAAATGCCCACACTCCCTTTCCGGGATCCTCAGAGAAGCATGAGACACTGAATTTTAAAATTTCGTGCGAATTACTTTTTTACATGGAGCCTAAATTGAAATTTAGAATCACAAAACCACAGCACTTTCTAAACGGAAAGGACTTAGAAGTTATCTAGAGGAGTTGTTTTCAATTAAGAGTCTGTAGACTAGTGCAAGTTTCCACACTCCAAGGAAAAATGAGAAAAATATGAGCAATGGAGCAGATTAAAAAAAATCCAGGTTAAATGCATTCAGTTTAAATAATATTTCTTATTCTGAGATTATCTCTCCCTCTCATTTTAAGGTTAGTTATGAATTATATGCTTGTAGTTTTAATTGTTCTATTAAATCAAAAATTCTGGAAACTCCAGCCCTTGTGTCTTTCCCCTCAGAACTAAGACCCAGAGAGATTGTGGCCCTGCTCACAGCCAAACCAAGAAATAAACATTCCAGTCTGGTATCTTTCTGCTGTTGTGTGTAATGCAATTGTGTACATTCAAAAATTTTATAGCTACGTTTGTTGTGATTGGTTTTCCGTTCAGCATTTTAAATTAAGGAATGAAATAATCAGTTAACATATGTGTTGTGTTATAATCAGAAACAGGCTTGCTCTCTGAGAAGTATCTATAACCATATGACATTGCTGTCTGTCAGTATTTGGTGAGGTTTTAAGAAATGTCAGAGTCTTGAAATTATATCCATGTAATATTAATATTGAGTTTGATATGGAAATAAAGACTGTTTTCTTTCAAGTTTTGGATGCTTCTTAAGTTTGAAGGTGTTCTAAGCACCTTAAAGAGAGAATTTAAAGAGACTTTGGATTCGGCTATTGATGTAATTCTGATCTTAAACATCTGAATACTGTCCAGCAAAAAAATTCCACTTCTAAAAGTTTATCATAATAAAATAATTAGAGATGCATGCAGAAATGCATGTATAAAGGTATTCATTAAAACATTTGTGTTAATGAAGATTAGAAAAAAAATAAATGTCCAGTTATAAGGAATTGGTTAAATATTTCGATCTAGTCATTTTACAGAAAGTGCTTTGGTTATTAAATATGGCTGTATTTCTATCTTCTTCTATATACTGTATTTTCTAATTTTTATCTACCACAAACATTTTGTACTTATATAACTGAAAAATCTGACATTATAATTTCATAGCTAATCAAAGTTCAGTATATGAAACTCTGTTATAATTTTTTAACTTTAGCTTTTACACCTTCTGTTTTTATGTAGTTTAGCTTAACTTCAGCACCTGACACTGAGCTGCTATAGAACAGCACACAATCCAATGGAAAGCTGTCATTTTTATTTTGAACACTGTGCTCTCCTGCAAGTTCACATCTGAGGCCTGTACATTCTAATTAAGTATCAAGAAGGACACGCACAACCATAAACTCAAAGATCTAGAAAACATTTGAAGATGTAATCAATTGAAATGTTCCTTTTTTTCTCTAGACCTGGCTGCATCTTAGCTCGGAGTAAGAATTTTGGCCATGGCTTTTGCCAGGGTTGCAGCCTAAAAGCCAGAATGAATAGTATCTTTAGTATTTGCAGCTCAAAAGTTCTCTCTCTGAAAGAGGAAGACAGGAGGTGCCTGATTCCATCACAGCTAAGTATGCCTGTGTGTGCCCCTGTGTGCACACGAGTGTGTGTGCATGTATGTGTGTGTCTGAGAGAGGAGGGAGAAGGGGAGAGGAGGCGAGGGGATGGGGGAGAGGCAGAGAGAGAAAGAGAGAGAAAGTGAGTGGGATTGTGTAAAGGGTTTCTGTTATCTTCGGCACTAGGTTAATTTGTCCTTTTAAAGTTCTTATAGACTCTGACAGTTCTTCCTAGTAGTTGTCCTACTTTTAATTAATTAATTAATTAATTGTTCAATGTCTGACTCCCTTTCTAGAAGGTAAGAGACATGAGGGCAGGAGCCATGTCTCCACCCCCATCTCTGTTTCCTTAGTTCCTAGCACAGTGCTTTTTGCATATGTAGTGAGGATTTAATAAATATTAGTTGAATAAATGCATGCATAGATCTTAAAAAACCTTATTTTTTTTTTTACCTTGTCGAACAGCGTCTGTGGCTGCTGCAGCTTCCCCCTTGCCCTTCTTCCAGCTGCTTCTTAAAGCCATTTTTAGGCCAGGAGAGGACCCTTTCCTCAGACTGAAGGAGGTGCTTGTCGGTTACCTCTGCGCAGGAGGGTTGACCCACCCTCCATCCATTGAGAGCTTCGAAAGGTGAGACCTAGGCTTCAGCCCTGTTTTATTTTTTTATCTGCTTAAAAATTTTATTTTATTTTATTATTATTATTTTTACATCTTTATTGGAGTATAATTGTTTTACAATGGTGTGTTAGTTTCTGCTTTATAACAAAGTGAATCAGTTATACATATGTTCCCATATCTCTTCCCTCTTGCGTCTCCCTCCCTCCCACCCTCCCTATCCCACCCCTCCAGGTGGTCACAAAGCACCGAGCTGATCTCCCTGTGCCATGCACCAGCCCTGTTTTATGGACGTTAGGATCGCTGTTTGCACATCCCTTCTTAGCTGCTCCTATGCTCTAGATAGTTCCGTGACAAAAGCCAAGCATCTATTTCACCGTCTGCAGAAATATAGGGCTGTCGCTTTTTTAGGGAGGCTGATTTGGATGCCAGTGTGACTGTGGGAACCCCAGCTCTCTCATAGACAAAGTACACATCCGTCTTTAATTTGTGGAACATGCTAGGCTTTGCCTCGGGGAAGCTTGGTGCAGGCAGGCATTTTTGTCTGTGCTCTTCACTGCTGTCTCCATCCCTAAGGACAGGGCTTGAATGCCCACTCTGTGGGCCCTCAGTAACTATTTGCTGAATGAGTGAATGAATGATGAAATAGCCTCATAGCCGGTGAATGTCGTCTTGTGTTTGATGTGCCATTTTGCCTGTATTTCACCCAGTTAAGAACTTGAAATGTGTGCTGTTTATGAAGAGGGCAACCTTTTGCTCACCCTTCCCACCCCCAATCCCCCATCACAGTTCTGATACTCTGCTGCACAGTCCTTCTAAGCTGGATGCCAGTTCTCCCATTTTCCTTTAGAGAACAGGCCAAACCATAAATGTTGGCAATCATGTGCCAGTGAGTATGCTGTTACAAAATTTCCAAATCTTCTGATCAACCCACAGACTTTACAAGTATAATAAATTCACTTTTTTTTTTGGTAAAATGCTATACTTTCAAATCAATGTTTTCCATAAGAATACTGATCTTTGCTGTGTGATTCAGAAATCAGAGAACAAAGGGTGATAATATATGCTAAAATTAAAATTAGTCCACCTCCTTTTATAAACAAGAAACTTGTCACTTCCCAGTTTGCCTTTCCTCTCAGGAAGTTCAGAGTTATGCCCACTCGTGCTACCTACTCTTACCCTCAATTTTCCGAAACAGGGATTTCATCTCTGTTTCCCTTCAGTATTTTGTTATTTTAAACTTAAAAAAATATATATATATATGGCAATATGCTTTGTTGAAAGTAGCCTCAAATTCTTTTTTGGTAGATGGTAAATTGTAATTAATGAGAAGAAGGTGCTTTTCGGAGCCTGCCTTCCCTGATGGTATCAATGCCTCCCTCTAACTCACTGGATATCAACCCTCTTCACGAGCCCGATTTTTCCAGTGTCACAGGCACTGGGAAATAGGCATGTTATTGCTAGAATGTAAGCGTACAGCAGAAAGAGCCCCGGGTTTGGAGTCAGCAGAACTGGGCTCTTATTACAACTCCATGTACTACTGGAGTGATCTTGGACAAGTCACTTAACCTCGGTTTCTCTTCTATACAGTGGGTATACAATCACTTGCTCTACCAACTACCTTGGGTTCTTGAGATGTAAATGAGATGAGAAGTGTCCATGTGTTTTGTAAACATTGCAGTTGTCTACACAGCTGTGTCTCCACAAGTCTGTATATTCCTTAAGATCTGGGACTACATCTTGTTCATATTTGTGTCCCTAGGGCTTGTCCTGTTTACCAGAACTGAAGCCACAGAGGGCACTGAACGTGGGGGACACTAATTTATTCATTGTTTCCTTTCAGAAAAGTTCCACTGGTGTCTGTTCATTAATAAGCCTTCATTGGTCAGCTGATCTTAACTGAGTACCTTCCACATGCTTTCTACTACCCCTAGGATATTTAATTGAGGAAAAAGTATGGAGGATAAACACAGAAAAATGAAAATGCACACACACACTGTTACAGATTTGTAAATGTCAGAGGTCACAGAATGGTGGCTTAAGGGCTAAATCTGCCTTTAGATGTGCTTTCTTTGGCTCAAACATTAATTGTTTCAATGTAAACAAATAGCTTAAAATCCAGAGATGTGGATTTTGCTTTCTCTTGAAATTGTGAACAGCTGGCCATACCAGGCCGGTCCCTCCACAGGGAGAGCTGGCAATACAGCTGCAGCCATTTCAGGCACATCCTTGACAGGCCAGTCCAGAGGCAGCCCTGTCACCCCCCGTTGTCTCCTGAACACCAAGGCAGATAGGAGCTACCATTTACGATCACATTTATTATGCTTGCATTTAGGTGGTAGCACTTACTGCATACCAGGCACTAGTCTAAGCTCTTTGGTTACCTATCCATCTAGATATCTACCCATGAATTACAGGTAGGGAAATTGAGGCACAGTTAGTGTGTGGCGGATCAGGATTCAACCCCAGGAGTCTGGCTCGCAGGTTCTGGCTCTTAATCGCTCAGCTATATCACATCTTGGTGGGGAGGGAAGGGTATCAAAAATCATACCTAAGTGCCGTGCAAGGTTGAGCCAGAGCCTCTCGTGCAGGACACTGTGTTCTGTCTAATTAGAGAAAGATTCACAGAAGAAGTGATTTTTGTAGAGTTTTAAAGGTAAAGAGACTCATGAGTCCAGGCAGGTTCAGAGCACCGTGCAGAGACCTCATTGGAGATCTGAGCATTGGAGCCTTTGGAGCATCTGAGCATTGGAGCATCTGAGCCTCCTCATTGGAGGCCTGGCTAACTGAGCTGCGTGAGGGCGCAGACGGAAGACAAGCAGGAGGTGAGGTGTGGCAGCCGGGACTTGGAGCTTGGATCTGATACCCCAGGGAAGGGGACTGCCCTGGGTAGCTGAGGGAGGCCAGCGATAAGGTTGAAGTCCTGTTGGACCAACGTGATGTAGGATGAATCTGCGTTCTTACAGGAGTCCTGCTGAACTTATTCATTGCTTTCACAATAAAGTCAATTTTGTAACACAGGTGTCCCTATAATACTGGCCTGACTGTTTGCTTCTGCTTCGGTCCCTGAGCGTATGAGCAAACACTTCAGACACTACAGCGAGCAGAAACTTGAGACAGAGCTTATCTTGTAATGCTGGGTTTTGCATCATATCCAGGGTGTGGTGTTACTTTAGAAGGCAAGTTCAATAATGATGTGTTTACGGGTTGAGCAAACAGTGCCTGTGCCCTGCGAGGGCTCAGGATTTATACTTTGAGAGCCCAGCAAACTGATTAATTTAGCTGGTCAGCGGGCTTAGTACCTGGATGTAGCAAATGGTCACCATATATGCAACATATATATGTGTGAATGTGTGTGTGTATATTTACATTGAGTATTTATGTAGCCCCTCGTATTTAATCATACTTATTTACAAAATAGCCCAGGGAAGCTTGGAGATGTTAAATGAATCAATAAAGCTAATTCAGGCAAGCCTTGGTCATTGACCCACCCAGTGTGTCCTCTCTTGTTTCATGTGATATATTAAATAAAGCATTTTGTGTTTTTGGTGTAACCCAACGATATAATGAAGTGACAAAAATGAATGTTAAAAGCATTTGGGTCACCTAAACTGCCTTCTTTAGAAAATAAAAATGCCTATTAAACAGTTACACTCTTTATTCTCTTGGCCTATTATTATTTCTCTCTCCAGGAGAGAGATTGGAACCATGTTTATTACTCTGTTCTTAACAGGTCTTGTCAACTACCGTCATACAGTAAGTGTTTATAAGCATCGGTGATAGTGAATTGCAGCCCACACCCCTGCCTAATCTCTGTTTCCCTGCTTTATTGCCCTTAGATAATTTCTTCCATTTCTATTTTTGCCTTTTCAAGGACAATGCAAGGCAGGATAGTTATGTGATTCAGGACTTTTAAACACATTTGAAATATGGCAATCACTTGTTATTCTTTTTTTTTTTAATTTTTTAATTTTTATATATTTTATTGTTGGCTGTGTTGGGTCTTCGTTTCTGTGCAAGGGCTTTCTCTAGTTGTGGAGAACAGGGTCACTCTTCATCGCGGTGCGCGTGCCTCTTCACTCTCGCGGCCTCTCTTGTTGCGGAGCAGACGCGCAGACGCGCAGGCTCAGTAGCTGTGGTGCACGGGCCTAGTAGCTCCGCAGCATGTGGGATCTTCCCAGACCAGGGCTCGAACCCATGTCCCCTGCATTAGCAGGCAGATTCTCAACCACTGCGCCACCAGGGAAGCCCTATTCTTGATAACAAACTTAAAGGCAAGCTTTCAAGCACTGACTTGTCTTCTCCCTGCTCATTCCAGCTACTACAGACTTAAAGAGAAGGGCTTTGAAATTATCTCCTTAATTGGGCTGCAGGTCACTGCTATTTGTAGAAGTGGCTTTGGGATGCAGGTGTGGGTTTTGGGGGCCCCCTTTGCTGTGGTTTTATATGTCTTGTTT